GGGCTGGGGATTCGAACCCGCCACCTTAGGTGTATGTGGCTGGCGCCTTAGCCACTTGAGCCACAGGCGCTGAGCCATCTGTTTCTTTTTTTGCAGTTTTTGGCCGGGGCCGGGTTTGAACCCACCACCTCCAGTATTTGGGGCCAGTGCCCTACTCCTTTGAGCCATAGGCACCGCCCCCACATCTATTTCTTTTTGGCTGTTTGTTTCAGTTTATAATTAGCAGACACCTTTACCTGTCCATTGTCAGTCCTGCCCACCATACAATGCTCCACCATGTCAGGCCTGTGGCTATTTTGTTCACTGTTGGGTGCCCTGTGGCTAGCTCAGAGGTAGTACTCAATAAAGGTAAGTTGAAATGGATGACTTTATTTATAGAAGTAGGATCAACCTGCAGACAGTATGAACTAGCCTACTATTTTAGCTCCATGTAGCAGGCAGGGCTTAGCAGGAGGTAGTAGCCACAACAGTGTGCCTATCCAGCCAGCACCAGTCTCACTTCCAGCAGATAATGATGTTGGGGTCGTTTTCAAGTCGCTCATCCAGCTCATGGTAGCTCATGCCTGAAGAGGGTGGTGGAAGTGAAGTAAGTCAGTGGCCTTGTCTTGGCCACCCTGCCCTGATTCCATCCTGATTGCCCTGCTTGTCTCTACCTGTCTTGCAGCAGATCTCATCATAGCTGTGGCAGCCTGTGTAAAGTCGGGCAGGGTGGCTCCACTCCTCCCGAGACACCCGCACAGGATACTTCTGTAGTCGCCGAATGAGATTCTTCATAAGCCCGAACTGGATCAACTTCCTAGTAAAGGAAGTTGGTAAAGGTTGGGTGAGAGAGGTGTGATGCTCTAGCCAGGCCTCTTTAAAGGTAAGCTAACCCTTTTCTGCAGTCCTTCAATTTTGTCTCAGTGGCTAGTCTGGCCTTCAAACTCATCATCTCTAGGAAACCTCTCTAGACTGGCAGTGCCATGCGAATATGCTTGGAATCATCCCCCCTCCGCACCTCCCCACTTCCTTTCTGACCCAGGGCTCCTGGCAGAAGTAGAGTCTACTTCCCTCAGGTAATCCCTTCATGCCACAGGAATTCCCTTCTGACCGTTCATCAACGTGTTGCAGTTGCTGGGGGTGGCGGCCAATGAGGTCTCGCACAGTAGTGCCAGGGCTCAGACTGCAGTACAGCTGGAACACATCCCGGAGACTGGCCCTTTTGTGCCCTGTGGATGCCAGGGTTCAACTTGCCAGGTGGCCCTGCCCTCCCCAAGATGGCCTTCCCCAGAGCCTGCTACTACCTTGCTTGGTCACATAGGATAGACACGCCTCCTGCAGGGACTTGTCGTCTACCAGGTCCTGGACCTTGGGTGTCAGGCAGTACACATTGGAGTACTAGAGGGTAGCAGAAGGCACAAGGGCCTGAGTGAGGGGCTTGGAAACTGACACAGCCCTGGTCTGGCCCACCCACATGGTCTACTCTTCACTTAATTATGCCATACCCAAGACTCACCTACCTGGAGGATGGACACCAGTGTTACAACGCCATAGTACCTGAAAGAGATAGCTATGGTCAGCTTCTGAGGACCATGCCTTCCCAGTCCCCATATTCAGGGCCCCCTGGGCTCTTTTCTGGCTTGTAACCTTGTACTGTGTATGAGTTTTTTCCCACTCACAGCAGGTTCTGGACAGCAATGCGCACCAGGTTGAGCTCCACATCTGCCTCAGCTGAGATCTTCTGGACATGACGGAAACCATCGATGTAGGGCAGGATCTGAGCAGAGTAGGGGGGGAGAGTCAGAGGAAGTAGGGTGAGGCCAGGGCTCTGACCAGTCCCAGGTAATGCTCAGGGAGGGATGGCATACCTGTTGTGTAGTGAGGTCCCACTGTGAGTTGAAGAAGTCCTCCTTGTCCTTTGTAAAAACAGGTACATCATACTCCTGGGCCACAGGAGGGTCTGGACGCTGCTCAATCACCTTCAAGTGGATGGTGTTGGACTCATCTGCAGGGGCCCCACCCATATCCTCAGTACCACCTTTCCCAAGAGGCTCCTGGTTACCATCCAGGCCTCTCAGCATCACTGAGACAGCAGGTAGCTCTGGGTAGGGTTAATCTTCCTTTTTTTTTTTGAGACAGAGTCTCACTATATTGCTCTAGGTAGAGTGCTGTGGCATTACAGCTCATAGCTACCTCAAGCTCTTGGGCTTAAGTGCTTCTCTTGCCTCAGCCTCCCAAGTAGCTGGGACTACAGGTACCTGCCAGAACACCCAGCTATTTTTTGGTTGCAGTTGTCATTGTTGTTTAGCTGGCTGGAGCCATGTTTGAATCCACCAGCCTGGGTGTTTGTCGCTCGCACCCTACCCACTGAGTATGGGTGCCACCCTCAATCTTCCTCTTTTATGGAGTGAGAAATTAAGATCCAGTGAGGGGAAGGAATATGCCCAAGGGGCAGAGCTGGAGAGCTCTACTGGCTCTCCCATCTTCATCACTAGACCCTGGACATTATCACCTCAGTCCATGGCTATTTCCTGAGCACCAGGTCATTCATGATTTTTTTTTGGAGAAAGAGCCTCAAGCTGTCACCTTAGGTAGAGTGCCATGGCATCGCAGCTCAAAGCAACCTCCAACTCCTGGGCTCAAGTGATTCTCCTGCCTCCACCTCCCAAGGAGCTGGGACCACAGGCACCCGCCACAACACCTGGCTATTTTTTGGTTGCAGCTGTCATTGTTGTTTGGCAGGCCCAGGATGGATTCAAACCCGCCAGCTCAGGTGTACATGGCTGGCGCCTTAGCCGCTTGAGCCACAGGTGCCGAGCCCATTCATGATTCTTGTCTTCTCCCTTACTTTCCTTTACCACTTTTCCATCCCTCCTCTACCCCTTTGCTGTTCTTGCAGGAGCTGAGCCATACCAATGGGGAGAGTGCACCGGCCTGAGGCATTTAGCTCCTCCAGCAAGATGGTCATGATGGGCACCAACTTCTGCTTGCTCTCCTCCGTGGACACGAAGCTACTCTCTAGCTGGATAGAGTACAGATAGCATTGTGGGTACATTCTAAGATCCCTGCTGGCTGGCTGCTTTGTCTGGGTCCTGAGCTGGCTAAGAGGGTCCCAATTCTGGGGAGCTCTGGAGTCATGGGAATACTTTCCCCAACTTTGCCTGCCCATACACCCAAGCCCATATCATCACAGACCTCCAGTGTGGTCAGGTAGCCAGCCAGCTTTTTAACGATGGGCTCCAGGGCACAGGTCTTGGCCTGGGCATCACACACGAAGCCCAGATTGAAAAGGAGGGCATTGCGGCTGTACTTCTTATGTTCAATGCACACGGGGCAGCCAATCAGCTTCTTTTCCATGGCTGTGCTGGATGGGTGGAAAAGAGTCAGGCCTGACCCCAAGCCTTTCCCCTCCTCTTGGGAATCCCCTCCACCCCCAGCTAGGGCCTCACACAGTGATGAGTTTGTTTTGCAGCTCTGGCTTGGTGATGATGTACACTTGGACAGTGTCAAACAGCTCCCGGGAGATGAAGTCCTCAGGGACCTGAGGAGGGGAGTGTCAATAGGCTCTTCAGAAGACATGGGTACTGGGTGTACTACAAAGGGTGCCTTCCTCACCCCAGTCCCAAGCCCTGTTCTCCAGTGTTTCTTTCTCTGCCATTCACTCAGGCCTACTACTACTTTATGTTTCCAAACACACGCTGTGTTCTCACCTGCTTCCTGCCTTTTGCATATGCTTCTCCCTTTATCTGGAGCATTCTCTCCTCTCTCACCTAATTTCTTTCTTTCTTTCTTTTTTTTTTTTTTTGAGACAGAGCCTCAAGCTGTCCCCCTGGGTAGAGTGCCATGGCATTACAGCTCACAGCAACCTCCAACTCCTGGGCTCAAGCGAGTCTCCTGCCTCCATCTCCCAAGCAGCTGGGACCACAGGCGCCCGCCACAACACCCGGCTATTTTTTGGTTGCAGCCATCATTGTTGTTTGGCGGGTCCAGGCTGGGGATTCGAACCCGCCACCTTAGGTGTACATGGCTGGCGCCTTAGCCGGTTGAGCTATAGGCGCCGAGCCTCTCACCTAATTTCTATGCATCATTTAGGTCATAATCCAAGGATACTTATGGGTCACTCGCTTCACCTTTTATGGGACACAGCACCCTCCCCGGCCTCCCATAGGCTGATTTCCCAACAACAGTACCAATGTACCCTATGTCTTCCCTGCCACGCCAGGTGCAGGGGACATGGGTCTGAGTATCCTCTTGGCTCCCACAGTTGTCGGCGAATAAAGGAGTGGCGTCCCCGCGTGTAGCAAGGGGATCTACCGCCGCCAGGCAGCCGGTTGAGCTCCCGAGTACGCCCCTCTCCCAGCCCAATCCCGCGAGCTTGGGTGGCACCTGATAGGTGATCTTAGGTCCCAGCGTGGGATGGAACTCGCTGAAGAATATGCATTCTATCCGGCAGCTGCTGCCCATGATTCTAGCAGGCCTGGGTCCGTAGCTCTTCGTTCCTGGCGCGTGGAGACTTCCCAACTCCTGGGAACACCTGACCGAGATAGCCTGGAGGCCAGGGCCCTAGGGTCGCGCAGGTTTAAGCGCGCACACACTAGCAAACCCGTCTCTTCAATGGCGCCTGCGCAGCGCGGTTCAGAGGCGTGGCTGGCGACAGGGGCTCGTCCCCTCAGGCCAGAAGTCGCACCCGGAAGTGAAGTACCTCCGCGACGGAGTGGCGGTGCGCTGGCAGGTTCCGGAATATCCAGGTTTCTTCACAGGGAACCACTGCATGAGGTCGGTGCTGCGGGTGAGGCAGCTCCCTAGCGAGGAGGGATAGCAGGTCAACTGCACTTGGGGAGGCTGTGCGCGAAGGGATTCACGCTTTACCAGTACTGGAGCTGGGACCTACAGTCCCCATCGTGTTCCACCCCCCCCGTGGCGCTCACGTCGGCAACCGCGTGGTGCACGGTGGGATTTGTAGTCTATTACATGGCTTTGCGCGTCCTACCTGAAAGGTGGACCAGCGATTAGTACCGGTTCACATAAGGGTACATGCTGACAGGCCGCCGGTTCTCAACTGGCATGTTGTGACTATTGATGGTGCTGATCTTGGTACTGTTACTACCATAACTTCTTGGAAGAGGGTGGCATTCCTGTCCTGCAACCTTTTTTCCAGTGAGAGGAGTGGACAGTGGCCACCCGAGACCTTTGCCTACGCTAGTATGCTTTCAGGCTACAGCCACCGGCCCAGCTGACCATGGCACTTTCTGCAGAGACTGAGTCATACATCTACCGAGCTCTGCGCACTGCCTCTGGGGCTGCCGCCCACTTTGTGGCCCTAGGCTTTACCATCTTTGTGGCTGTGCTTGCCTGGCCTGGCTCCAGTAAGTAGAATTCATAGTTGACTTCTGGCAAGGGGGGACAGTTTTACTGGGGATCAAGGGCAGAAGGAAGCCTTGGGCCTGACTCCTGGGAACAGGCCTGGCCGGCTGAGGGATATTCTATTCTGGAGGGATGAGTGGGTGCAGCAGTTGGGTGGCTCTACTAGTCTGGCCAGGCCCCTCAGAGTACCTGGTTTTTCTTTCCTTGCCTGGATGCTTTATTTGCTGTCTCTTGGTTGGTTCTATTGAAGATAAGAGGGTTGCCAGAGGAGTGGCAGTGCCTGGGCTCTGACCCAGGAAGGGACCAGGAAGAACAGATAGGTGTGAGGTCAGCTTGTTGCAGCAAGAGGTGGCTCACACTGTGGCAGCACCTCCTGGGGTGATGGGTTGCGGGTATCCTTTTCTCCTTACCTCAGCCCCATCAGGTCTCCTCTTCTCATTCTAGGCTTATTCTCCTGGCACCCTGTGCTTATGTCTCTGGCTGTAAGTAGTGGGCCTGGGCAACTCTTAAGGGTGGGAGCATTGGCATGGGTGGTGGTCCTGGCAGCCTCTAATCCTCATTGACAGTATTCTTTTGGAGGAGTTGAATACTTCAGTTTCTGCCTGTGACATATATCTGAGATTTGAACACAGAGAATTCAAGACCCAGAACAAATGCATATTTGTCTAAGCACAAAATGAAGCTTTACCTACCTCTATCCATGAAGCTGAGAAATTGCATTTGGATGTACCTCTGTTCTGCTATACCTTAATTTACGGTGATGCACTTAATTTTCCCCTGAAACAGTGCACCCATATGGCCAGCTCTTGCCAAGAAATTGTATCCAGCCTCATGATAGGGAAACAAAGCTTGTGAATTATTTACGGCTGCTACAATTTAAACCCTCCTGTTTACTGGGTAACTTGGAAGAGATGACATTTCAGAAAGCACCTAGGAAGAAGTGTGGAGAGACACCTCTGTTTACTTAGGGCAAAAGTACTATACCAGATGGGGTTTTCCATCTCACCCACCAAATGTATAGTCTTGTCAATGGGGACATAATGAAAAAGGGGAATCAGTTCAGATTCACTGACAGCTTAGAAAGTTACCTAGATCCTTTCCCTTTTGCTGGAGCAGCACACCCTCACTTGAGTTTCCCATCCTGTCTCCTCAGTTCTTCCTGATGACCGAGGCACTACTGGTGTTCTCTCCTGAGAGTTCACTGCTGCGTTCCCTCTCACGGAAGGGCCGAGCACGCTGCCACTGGGTGCTGCAGCTCCTGTCCCTGCTGTGTGCACTGCTGGGCCTCGGCCTTGTCATCCTCCACAAAGAGCAGCTTGGCAAAGCCCATCTGGCCACACGGCACGGACAGACAGGGCTGCTAGCTGTGCTATGGGCAGGGCTGCAGTGCTCAGGTGGGGTGGGGCTGCTCTACCCCAAGCTGCTGCCCCGATGGCCCCTGGCAAAGCTTAAGTTATACCATGCTACTTCCGGGCTGGTCGGGTACCTGCTAGGTAGTACCAGCCTCTTGTTAGGCATGTGCTCACTCTGGTTCACTGCCACTGTCACTGGTGGGGCCTGGTACCTGGCTGTGCTATGCCCTGTCCTCACCAGCTTGGTCATCATGAACCAGGTGAGCAATGCTTACTTATACCGCAAAAGGATCCAACCATGAGCTTCCAG